TGTAGACGTCATCGTATAACTTTTGGTAATTTAGTGCTTTTAGAAGCATAAATAGCTTCCAGTCTTTGGTATGAGACATTTGACTCATGAAACTTTGAGACATATGCGTAATGAAAGATGCAACGTAATTAAATTAATTATACAAGGGAAAATCCAGGACAAGATGAATGTAGTAAGGAGAAGGATCTGATGGTTGCGGTAACTTGAGGGAATGGTATGGATGCACATCAATCGAACTATTCTAAGATCAGAATAGCCATAATGATTGTAATTAAAAAACAAATACAAAAATTTCTACTAGATGTTATATAGTATTTTATAATAAAGTTGTGGCCTATGTAAGGCCATTTCAAATAGGTAAAAATAAATCGAGGTAAGTAAAAATAAATAATTAACGAGAAGAACATTGGAATACTGGTCAAGCTTTTCAATGATGTTTATTCGACTGGTGATATCCCTGAAGATTGGTTAAAGTCCAAATTCATAACACTACCAAAAAAACAACGTCCGAAAAACTGTAGCGATTATAAAATTATAAGCCTTATGAGCCACACCTTGAAATTATTTTTAAGCATCATCCACAGTAAAATCAGAGATAAATGTGAAGAAGACCAGGATGAAACACAATTTGGCTTAAGAAATGGACTGAGAACTCGGGACGCCCTCTTTGCGCTAAATGTATTACTGCAGAAATGTCGAGATCAAAGGTGAGACGTCTTTGCTGTATTTATTAACTATAAAAAGGCCTTTGATCGAGTACAGCATCACAAATTAATTACAATATTAAAAGATGAAGGTGTTAATAGTCAAGACATATGATTCATAGAAAAGTTATACCGGCGTCAAACAGCGACAGCTTGCATAAACGGAAAATCAACAAAAATATGTAAAATACAAAGAGGTGTCAGACAGGGTTGTATACTATCCCCACTGTTATTTAATTTATATTCAGATAGAATATTTAAAGAAGCGCTGAATAATTTGGAATGGGGCGTGAAAGTTAATGGAATTCTAAAAAATACAATCAGATATGCAGACGATCCAGTTATTTCAGTGATGACATGAATAGACTACAATGCCTTTTAAATGCCATTGATACAGTGGGAAGAGAGTTTGGCCTAAACATAAACTGTTCAAAAACAAAACATATGGTGTTTAGTAGTTTAGCACATCAAGATGCACGATTATATGTTGATGGTCATATAATTCAAAGAGTGTCCAGTTTTAATTATCTTGGTTACTGAACAACTAGATCCAGATCAAGAAATAAAATGTAGAATCGAGATAGCCCGCACGACATTTTTAAAAATGAGGTCATTCTTCTGTAATGATAACTTGCAACTTCAACTTCGAGAGCGCATGGTTAAATGCTACATTTGGTCAGTCCTCTTATACGGTGTCGAAGCATGAACATTAAAAATATCCACCATTAATCGTCTGGAGGCTTTTAAAATGTGGCTGCACAGACGTATACTAAAAATTCCATGGACGGCTATGCTGACAAATGTGGCAGTCCTTGAGAAAGCAAATGCTTAATAATATCAAATGTAGAAAGATGGCCTATTTTGGACACGCAGTAAGGGGAGACCAATATAATATTCTTCAACTTATTATGATGGGTAAAATCGAAGGACGCAGAGGAATTGATAGAAAGCAGGCCTATTGGTTGAAGAATATCAGGGAGTGGACAGGAATAAGCAAATCTGAGCAACTCTTTAGAATAGCTCGAGACAGAGACAGTTTCGCCATGTTAATCGCCAACGTCAAGAGGACTTGATAGGACACGTTAAGAAGAAGAAGAAGAAGAAAAATAAATCAGAATATCACAATCAATTTTTTCTATCACCAACGACCGTTTTCGCATACTATAATTTGCTATGCATCTTCAGGTCAACGGTACATGCTAAACTAAATTAAAGAAAATTTAATAACCCGTATTAGGGTGCTGTATGGTAAATAATATATAGCAATTATGCCAATATTATATGTGTTTAATTATTAGATATAAATTTAAATTGATTAATTAAAAATTAAGTGAACAATGATTTAGTAAAACTGAAATTAAATAAATATTACTTACATTCCGCTACAAGGATAATTATTAAATGTTTAAAAAAACGTAGTTTAAAAATCCGTTATGGTAAACTGGTGGCAGGTGATCATCGGTTTTATTGTAATTATTTAACGAATAAAGCGATAGTTCTTGAGGGGAAAAGATATTAACAACTGGACCTGAAACGTAGGTGTTGTGTAAATTGTTTCAAAATAATTATTCAAAAATAAATGTGATGTGTTTTATTATTTAGAATTTATTCATATTTATTGAAGAGATATATTTTGAAAAGGTGTTATTTATTGAAATTAGTTATTTTGAGATAATCACATTTAAAGGTTTTAGACAAGGATATCGACATATAATATAAAACTAGGATTTTTTGTTGTAACAAAATGTAACTCAGAATTAGATAATGATACTTAAATACAATACATTATTACGGTTTTATTGTAAAAATTTAATGAAACAATAATTATAGTTTAAGCAAATTGTACGTTGTTGGGTTTTTATATTTTATTTATACTGAGTTTCTTTTTCAGGTATATTCTTTATTCTGCCGTGTATTGACGCCTATGCTCGAGTTGATCTGCGTACACGAACTTATGACATTCCTCCTCAAGAAGTAAGTAAAGAATTATATTATTTGATATGTATATGTTATTATACGAAAAAATATAAATTTAATAAGCGATGCACACACACACATTAACACACGAGGTGATCAACCCTTCCCCTAGGAACATGTGTATACCACCATAAGGGTGAGATCCACATGTCCGAAGATCAAACCGGTCTCACTTCACTAGTTGAAGTGGTATATATCTGACCCCCAGGTTTTTCCTCCACCCCTCCTCATCGTACGACTGACGTGAGGAGGCTTGATCTTAGATTTACTAAAGGTACCCTGGGTAATCAGATACCTTCCGTTTTTAATAACTGTGGTTATGCCACCTATCTGTAGGGGTAGCCGAAATGTTGGCTTTTCTCCCTAATGTTAAAGTAATACCAAAACAACGTATATTACCAACATTGTTCCCAATAGAACAAGAATTATATAATCTAAGTAATTAGCGTACACTTTTGCGGTTGGCGTTTTTAAAGTTTACCCCTACAACAACTACTACTACCTGTCGGTTTATAACGTTCTTCGCCGTTTTTCGACTTCCAATCGCCACTTAGTCCGCTTGTTAAATAGGTCTTCTTCTATGGCCCTCTCTCTCAGTTCTTTATTTATTCCTTTGCTCCAACTTTTTCTCGAAATACCTCCTTTTCTCTTTTCTAATGGTTGCCATTTTATTATTTCTTTTAGTTTTCATTGTTCATCCATTCTTTGTATGTGTCCGGATCATATATGTTGTTCTGTTGTTAGGTTATCTGTGATTGTTCGTTTGATTCCCATTATTTCTCTAATACGACATAAAGTAATTTCTGTCGCTTTCAGCGTTGCCAGTGTTTTTTCTTTTAGTGGCCACACCTCACAGCTGTATGAAGTGATACTGTAACGAGTCCGTCACTTCAATAATCCTTTAAACATTTTTAAATAAAATTTAAAAATCCCAACCTCTTAATGATTTTCTTAATTTTGAATTTCTAAGTTGGTATTAAACACCGACACCTGCGGTGCTGTAGGGCGACATGATTACCCGACTAGCAATTAGCGCTCATTCTGGTTTTAACTTTTTGGAAGACAAGTTCGTTTAACTAAAAAGCGGTAGGCGGCAGAAGAAGGCTAAATTTGTTTTGAGAATATTAATTTTTTGAGGAAGGAAGAATATGGAAATATTTTAGTTGTTTCGTAGTGTATACCCTTTGATTTATAGTCACTTCTAGCCGGTAAGTTGATTCAATTATAAATAAAAAGTGTAAAAACCATCAGCTATTTTACCCTTTATAATATCGTCATTTGTCCTTTGATAGTGTAATATCTATCTGTCATTTCTCACATTATTTCATTAAGAAACATTCTGGATTTAGATATAGTAAGGTTATAAAATCATATCAATTTTCTATTTTATTTCCCAGCCTTAAAAACATATAATTTTCCATATTTAAAACTATCTATTATCTATTAAGACTATCTGTAAAAATATCCTGCCTTGTACCGTTCTTTTATATTCAAAAATATATCCGGCCTTTCGTTAAAATTATCTATTTAATTAATCTATTTTTCATCAAATATTGTCAAACCGTGCAAAGGTCGCATTATTTACAAAATCATTACAGCTTTTTCTTTGATAAAAGCTTCCCAGCAAGTTTTTTGTAATATTTTTCAAGTTTTTTTATTTGTTAGTAAACCTGGTGTTTTTCCCTTCTTTTTATTAATCGTAAGGAGAAACTGTATCACAATTGTTCTTTTTAGCCTACCTAAGAAGTTAAATTCAGAGTCGAGGATTTTTTCATTTATTTTTTTTTTGGGGGGGATTTATAAAGAAAAAAAAAAGAAGAATTACGTTTTGAATTTGCACATCTGTTGATTATGATGATGTTTGCACAAATACAACAGAGATATCTGCAGTATAAAATGATGCAATTTCTTTTCTTTATTTGAATATACATACCCAATCCAAAAGGGGGACACAAGCGAGTTCTACATTGAACACAATAAATTCTCTTCCCCTTCATGATGACCCCAATTGTTCTATTGTCATCATATGTGCACAACGCAACAAGCATTTAATTGTAATAGGCCTTTTATACATAAATATGTTTCATTAATATTTTAATAATATGTGTAACCTTCCGCACAAAAATTCTATAAATCCATTGCAATGTAATAAAACAACAAAATGGAAATTGTACGTATTATCTGGAATTTCTGTATGTAATTTTCTACGTCGGTTAATTTGTTAATTATAAAAGCTTTTACTCTACTTATTATATTAATTAATTTATTTCTGTACTGTAATTAAAACAATAGTTAAATTCCACACTCTTTTTTATTCAGGTATTAACAAAGGACAGCGTAACCGTCTCTGTGGATGCGGTGGTATACTACCGTGTCTCGAATGCCACGGTGTCGATTGCCAACGTGGAAAACGCTCACCACTCGACCAGATTACTAGCTCAAACCACCTTGCGGAATATAATGGGTCAAAGGCCGTTACATGAAATCCTCAGTGAACGTGAGAGCATTTCCCAGCACATGAAGGCCCTCCTGGACGAGGCTACCGACTCTTGGGGAATTAATGTCGAACGCGTTGAAATGTGAGTAGAACTTGAATTGAGTAATACTTTTGTTAATTCGTTTAATTGATTCGGTATGGAAAATATTGCATTAAGACACAAAAAAATAATGGTTATTATAAAAATTCTTATTAAAATTGAAGCACTTTTCATAGGTTTCCAGCTGAGTTGTTAAATTAATTTTGACATCCACCTAGATCCTGGATTACGAGTGTAGCGAGAAGCTAATTACGAATAATTAAACTTTTGTATTTAAAAATTAAATAAAACAATCTTATATTAACTATTACATTTTCGCAATTGGTTATACAAATAATGAAAATGAAATAAAAATTGAAATGTGTTCCTCAATATATTTATTTAAAGATATTAGATAATATGATCATTGCAAACACCTGGTATAAATGCGTGGTGTTGACAAATGCGACTTTTTGCTAACTTTATACAGAACCTTTATTCGTTCCAGGAAGTGGACATTTCGTATGTTTACACATAGTATCGATATTGCCTGTTGTAATGCCTGGCTAGAATATAGGCAAAAGGCAATTGCGTTAGGCATGCCGGAGAATAAAATATTGGATTTGGTTTATTTTAGGGTATACGTCGCTGAAGTTTTGATAATATCAGACAAAGTATCTTCCAGAAAACGAGGACGCCCTTTAGATACAAGAGAATCGACGTCATGTCTGTCACAGAAAAAACAAAAAACAGAAACTAGACCAGCAGCAGAAGTAAAGCTTAATGGATTTGGTCATTTGCCAATTATAGATGACAAATCCTTTTCTTCTAGGTGCAAATTCCCCAAACGCGGTTCTAGAACCATTTTCGTGTGTCTCTCTCTCTCTTCAATCCTGACCCCCCAGGGGGAGTGTAGTGGTCGACGTGATGTCGTGTATTGTCCGTCTCCAGAGATCTCTGTCTCTGGTCATTTCTTTTAATTCATGCATAGGTCTTTAGCATATTCCTGTAATTTGATCTATCTATCTTGTTGGGGATCTTCCTCGTGATCTTCGGCCTTCTACCTTTCCTTGTATTATGAGTCTTTCCATGTTTTCTGTGTTTGCTTTCATAACATGCCCAAAATATTTTAATTGTTGGAGATGGACTTTACTAGAGAGTCGTTGGCTAACTTTTAGCTCTCTTAAAATTGAATTATTTGTTCTGCGGTCGGTCCAAGGAATTCGTAACATTTGTCTCCAACAGAACATTTCAGTGGCGTCTATCTTTCTTCTCTCTGATTGTCTCAGAGTCCAAGATTCACATCCGTAGGTCAGTATTAGGAATATTAAGCAGTTGATCAACCTCATCTTTATCGCTCTTGAAATTTGACAGTCCTTCCATATTTTGGTCATTTTTTGCTGTGGCAACTTTTGCTAGATCAGATCTACGTTTAATCTCTTCTTGTAATGGCCCTGTGTTTGTGATTAATGATCCCAGATATAAGTATGAGCTCACAACCTCGAACCGGTCAATTGTGGTTATGTGTGAGTGATTGTTGTGTAGTCTATCCACTATCATGATCTTTGTCTTTGATATATGTTTAATTGCAGACCAAATATTTGACTTTCGTTTTCGATCAGTCGTATAAGTTCTATCAGCTCTGCTTGACTATTTGCAAGAAGGGCTGTGTCATCTGCGAAACGTAGGTTGTTTAGTTTATGACCATTTATTGAGATGCCGTTTTCCCATCCTTCAAGTGCTCTTCGCATAATATACTCCCCATATATGTTGAATAATTGTGGAGATAGTATACATCCTTGCCTGCCACCCCGTTCTGGATGAAATTCGTTCGAAAGTGTGTCAAGTACTTTAACTGATCCAGTAGTGTGTTTATATAGTTCAGTTATAAGCGTAATTAGATGTTGTGGTACGCCTACTTCTTTTAGTATTCGCCATAAGTGTCTCCACTTGACCCTTTCGTGTGTAAAAAGTGCAATATACATTTATAAATTTTAAAAAAACAAAATTGATCTATGTTATATCATACAAATTAATAATTAGTTGCACATTTATGATTTTTAATTGTATTTTGTTTCCAAAGTCGCAAGAGCTACTACAATTTACTCACAATGTGCAATATATTATACAGGTTGTATACACCGTTTGTTCACAATGTACGATATACTGTACAATTCACATCTCTTAAAACTAGTAACAGGGAATTATTTTAAGTAGGGTAATTCGAGGAAAGATGGCCAACTTTTTTTAGAATGGATGTATTTTTAAAAGTTTTTGAAGTTTGGAAGTAAAATAAAACTTCATATAATGATTATAGTTTATTGATACTAATTTCAGTTATGAACTAGAAATAAAACTTAAATATATTTGTTTATGTTAAGAAATATAAGTAACAAAAAAAAACCATCTCACCCACATAACGGAGGAGATTTGGCTCTACGAAGAAGGTGAGATGGCACATTATAAAAAAAATTAAAATAACTCATTTTTACGTTACATATAACTCATTTTTATGTTACATAACTAGTTAGGTACTTCTTGTTAAACAAATAAGTTTGCCACAAAGGTCGCAGAATCCGATACATAAAATATTGTTCTAAATGTCAAATATACTTACAATCCATTAACCCTCCGTTAGTCGCTAGGAAAAACTGTTTATCAACAGTCGCTATGGTGTCTGAGACCGACAATTAAAAGAAAATAGTTTTTGCTATAAAATTCATACAAATATTTTATATCGTGTATAGGAATAACTGAAAAATATTTTTGAAAATATTTTATTGAAAAAAAAAACAGATATAAAATAAAAAACACTAGTATAACAATATATTGTTAATATTGTTCTGAAGCTATTTTCTTCTGACATTTTAAAGTTGAATTACTATGTCAATACCAGTAAAAGATAAAACTTGTCATTCTAAAAGGAGCTTTTTGGTGCAGCGCACCTTTTTTGCTAGCTAGCGTAAAATATTCAAAAGCCCCAATCTAACTCGCTAAACTGCACTTAATAACATGGGTTTACTAAAAAGTTACCCATGCCTGCAATATAGTAAAATTTGAAAAAACCTGAACGGCGGATAAACCAATTATAAAATTGTTCAGTGTTCGAACGCATTGTTGTATTATTATTTTCAAAAACAGATTTTTGCAAAATATTCAACAATTATTGTTTCGACTATAATGGATGCTTGAGACATCTAAAAATATTGGTAATTTTTTGATTGTATTTTTCATGCACTTGCCATTTTTATGCTGTTTCTAAATATGCTTATACAGAGTGTAACAAACTTACATTAGGGTAAGTTCGGGAGAGATGGCTTACATTTTTTTGACTGTCTGTATCTTAGCACAAAAAAGTCTACGCTTTGAAATATTTATATATTTGTATTAAAATACCATTACAAGAAAGTGTTTCAACATATATTACATAAATTAACATATTTTGAATAGTTTTCACGAAAACAAGTATTGCATTGCACGCTTTGTACCCAGTTTTCCTGTTTCAATGTAGTTGAATATATTTCCCCACATCCGTCACATTCACAATTTGTTTTGTCTAGTAGATTATCACTAGAGTCTTTAGTAATTTTCATATGATCGTCAGAGTCTTCGGAAGAAGATGACTGATAAAACATCTTTTTTTGGTTCTTGAGTTTCTTGACTTTTTCCAGAGGCCCTTTATTCTTTTTCACATATTTTTCTTTCTTTTTAACATTTAAATCTTTGCGTATTACAAAATTCACTGAGCAAGTAAATACAGCAGCCAATTATCTACTGCGTTTCCTTACTTGTAAAATACCTGATGTAGTTTCTGCCGGATCTAAAACTTTATCGGAAGTGATTTTTTCTTTACAGGTCAGCTTATTACCAGGTATAGATGGTAGTTCTAATGGTGACATGTGAGATGGCGTCGAACTGCTTGTAGATGGTAGGTTTAGACGTTGCAAATCATTCTATTTCAGTACTTTGGGTTGTTGATCTCTCAAGAAAGGCGTACTCTGACATTGCATTCAGGTCGAATGCAATTCACGGACAAACACGTGAGTGGTGGTTTTCATCTCTTTAAAAATAAAAGTTCTTATGGAACCATGTTGCGATGGTTGCTTAGGACAGAGATTTTGGAAATAGTTTCAAAGTGTCTTTAAAAAATGTAAGCACTATCGTCGATGTTTCTTTGCGACAAAAACAACAATTTACCGGGCAAACACAATGGTTCTCCATATACGAGTTTGGCGGCTGAAGTACCTAAATCTTCTCTCTATGCTGCTTGTATGCCCAGTTACACTGAAGGTAGGCTTTCGGTCCATCGAATATTTTCATGGCATCTATGTATTGGTGCTTGAAGCTCAGCTGCATTATGTAGGAACCTTTGGTAGAAGTTCAATATACCTAGAAATCTACGCAGGTCTTTTACTGTTTTAGGATGAGTGAAATAGAATGATTTGTAACGTCTAAACCTACCATTTACAAGCATTTTCACGCCGTCTTACATGTCACCATTAGAATTACCGTCTATACCTGGTAATAAGCCGACCTGTAAAGAAAAAATCACTCCCCATAAAATTTTAGATCTGGCAGAAACTACACAGGTATTTTACAAGTAAGGAAACATGGTGTATAACTGGCTGCTGTACTTACTAGCTCAGTGAATTTGGCAATACGCAAAGATTTAGATGTTAAAAAAAAAGAAAAAGATGTGAAAAAGAATAAAGGGCCTCTGGAAAAAAGTCAAGAAACTTAAGAAACAAAAGAAGATGTTTTATGAGTCATTTTCTTCCGAAAACTCTGACAGTCATATAGAAATTACTAAAGACTCTAATGATGATCTACAAGATAAAACAAATTGTGAATGTGCCGGATGTGGGGAAATATATTCAACCACATCGAAACAGGAAAACTGAGTACAAAGCGTGCATTGCAGTTCTTGTTTTCATGAAAACTGTTCAAAATATGTTAATTTATGTAATATATGTTGAAACACTTTCTTGTAATGGTATTTCAATACAAATATATAAATATTTTAAAGCGTAGACTTTTTTTTGCTAAGATACAGACAGTCAAAA